GATTTAAATATGAATCGGCTGAAACTCGGAAATGACGATTTTTCATATCAATTAAATTTCCGCGCAATTGAGATAGGTCAATTGCAGTTACCCCGCTTGATACGATATGCTTTTGAAAAAATGCCCATGACTCACTGTTTTTCTGGGATTTTGAATTTCCTCTGTAACTGACCACGTGTATTAGTTTCGCTTTACAACTCTGTTTATGCTAAGTGCCATTGCTTCACTACAAATGTGTCCCATAATTATTCTAATCATTTTCCTACATACAATATCACATCAAACAGGGAATATCTTAGTTTTTTAAGAAATTTGACCGGTACTTTACTACGAAACTATTTCTTTCACTTCGAAACTATTTCCTTCAACCTTAAAATAATAAGCTTACAGAATACCTGAAATGTTGTGGAAGTTGGTGGCTCAGTGGTTAGCGTGTCCGACTTTCATACTAATGGTTTTGGGATCGAGACCAGATGGAGGAATTGATATTTTTTTTTTTTTTTTTTGCATTTTGTTTTTTTTTAAATACAAAAAAATTCTTCTTACAGATAAAAGAGGAGAACGGAAGACCTTATTTGTTGCTGTAGCAACAAGAGTTTCTAGTTTCTTATTATTATTCTTATTATTATTTTTTTCCCCAAATCTTGTCGGCAGGATTTCTCAGAGATGACTGGACGGATTTTCCTGAAATTTTCAGGGATGATAGAGAATGAAAATACCCCGAGACGTTTTTTTCATTTTTTCAAAATTCACTTCCGGTCGTCAGATTTGTCCGATTTCCGCTTTTTTCAAAAAATATTTAATCCGAGTGAGATCTCAGAAACGGTAACTGATTAAGGCACCAAACTTACAGGGATGATAGATCTTGATAAGTAGGCAAATCCATTTGGGTTAAGATCGTCCGTCGTCACTTCCGGTTGTCACAGAAAGTGTTTATAAATATCGAAAATTTCAACTTTTCTTTTTTGAAACTTTTTTTGCCTCATATGATAGCATTTTATTTGTAGTGTTGAAATATGTCAGTCCCACCGGAACCAAAAACGGCAACTTCCGGTTATAAGAGAAAAACTACAGAATTTGAGTATTTTTCTTTCCCATAAATATTTTTTATAGATAAAGTATTTGGGATGATTTTTGGATATTTTATTTAGACTGCAAATGTCTACAGTAACGTCAAACATCTTTGTAAAATTCACTTCCGGTCGCGTGATTTCCTGTCCTCAAAGTTAGAAGTTATCATTGCTAGATCTCGTAAACGGTACGAGATTAAGACACTAAACTAATAAGGATGGTAGACCTTGATAAGTAGACAAATCTATTGAGTTTAAGATCGTCCGCCGTCACTTCCGGTTGTCACACGAAGTGATAAAATAATCAAAATTTTCAACTTTTCTTTATGGAATATTTCTTATATTACCTTATAGCAAATTATTTGTAGTTTTGAAAAATGTCAGTCCCACTGGTAACAAAAACGACAACTTCCGGGTATGAGAGAAAAACTGCATAGACTGAGTATCATACTATCCCATAAATATCTTTTATAAAAAGAGTATTTGAAATGGTTTTAGGACATTTCAGACTGCAAATGTCTAGAGTAACCTCAAATATCTTTTTTTTTAAAATTTACTTCCGGTCATGTGATTTCTTGTTCTCAAAATGAGAAGTTAATATTAGAGATCTTTTAAACTGTTACAGATCAAGACACTTTACCTACCAAGAAGATTGTGCAACAGACATAGAGTAAAATGCATTCACCGTCACTTCCGGTCGTCACAGGAGGAGATAAAAAATGATTTTAATAAGTGTTATGAAGACTATAATTGTCTAAAGTAACGTCGAGAATCTTGATGAGTTATACCTCCAGCTTTTTTTCTCCTGTAATCGTTGTAAATATTATGTGGCTTTTTTAACATAGATAAAAGCTCATTCATACAGAGAAATAGAGGAGAACGGAAGACCGTTTTTGTTGCTGTAGCAACAAGAGTTTCTAGTTCAAATACTCTTTTTATAAAAGATATTTATGATTTAGTAATATACTCAATTTATGCAGTTCTCTCTCATGACCGGAAGTTGTCGATTTTGTTTCCAGTGGGACTGTTATATTTCAAAATTTCAAATAAGATGCTATAATGTATTACTAAGAAAGATTCCATGAAGAAATAATTATTTTTTTGATATATTTGATCACTTCCTGTCACAACCGGACGTGACAGCCGCACGGACGATGTTAACCCAAATGGATTTGCTTTCTTATCAAGCTCTACAATTCCTATAAGTTTGGTGTCTTAATCTTTTACCGCTTTCAAGATCTAGCTATGATAAGGTCTCATTTTGAGGACACAAAATCACGCGACCGGAAGTGAATTTTAAGAAGATATTTGAAATATCTGTATACATATGCAGTCTGAGTTACATAACCAAAAATCATTAACAAATTCTTTATCTACAAAAAGTAAATATATGGGAGAAAAAAATAATCAAATTATGTAGTTTTTCTCTTATAACCGGAAGTTGTCGTTTTTGTTTCCGGTGGGACTGATATATTTTAAAACTACAAATAAGATTCTATAATCTGATGTAAAAAAAAATTCATAAAAGAAAAGTTGAAATTTTAGATTTTTTTATGACTACCGGTAACGACCGGAAGTGACGGCAGACGATCTTTTCCTAACTGATTTAGCCTACTCATCACGATTTACCACTTTATTTAGTTTGGTGTCTTAATCTCTTACCGTTTACGAGATCTAGCTATGATAACTTCTCATTTTGAGGACAGGAAATCACGCAACCGGAAGTGAATTTTACAAAGATATTTGACATTACTGTAGACAGTTGCAGTCTGAATAACATATCAAAAAATCATTACAAATACTTTATCTATAAAAAATATTTATGGGAAAGAAAAAATACTGAAAATACGCAGTTTTTCTATCATAACCGGAAGTTGTCGTTTTTACTTCCGGTGAGACTGATATATTTCGAAGCTACAAATAAGATATTGTTATCTGATGCAAAAAAAGTTTCATAAAAGAAAAGTTGAAATTTTCGATTTCTTTGATCACTTCCTGTGACGACCGGAAGTGACGGCGGACGATCTTAACCCAAATGGATTTGCCTACTTATTAAGATCTATCAACTCTGTAAGTTTGGTGCCTTAATCTCTTGCCGTTTCTGAGATCTCAATCGGATTAGATATTTTTCAAAAAAGCGGAAATCGGACAAATCTGACGACCGGAAGTGAATTTTGAAAAAATGAAAAAAACGTCTCGGGGTATTTTTATTTTTTATCATCTCTGAAAATTTCAGGAGAATCCTTCCAGCCATCTCTGAGAAATCCTGCCGACAAGATTTGGGAAAAAAAATAATAATAATAAGAAAAAACAGTAGAATCACTATAAGGTCTTCCGTCTGAAACGGAAGACCTTAAAAACAGTAGAATCACTATAAGGTCTTCCGTCTGAAACGGAAGACCTTAATTACGCCTGGAACTTTCAGGAGAAGTAAAAGCCTCTGATTGGTCAATTTAATTATCAATTAAGGGTCATTTCAGATAGGGGTTAAGTTTGAATTTGATCATGAAGGAGGGAGTTTAGTTTGGGTGAAATAGGAAATGCAGATAATTTCAAGGTTAAGGCTTTTACACTTCTTCTGGATAACACAGTATCTGCTGGTAGGTGTGATCATTAATTATCTGGTACCTATTTGAGTAAATTTGATTAGGATAATGTAGAATGATTATAGTTATAACTTAACCCTAAAATTACTTTAGATATTTGAGTTTTCTTGCACACATTTCTGAGAAATAATAGTCTGATAGTCAGGCTGCAGTGAGTCTGAGGAACTGTAAACTACTGAGTAAATGAAGAATTGTATTGAGTAACTAAAATTGTTTCAATTTGATTACTAAAGTGATAAAATGTACCGGTATTGTAAAAAGTTTGTTTAATTCTAAATACACACTCAATCTTGGATGTTTTTAAGTGTCCCTTAATACACAAAATTTATGTTATATTTCTATACTATATGTTAATGACCCAACATTGTTTTCTTACAATTCAAAATGCTGAATTTTTAGCTTTAACATTGTAAATCATAATATAAATGTTTTTCTTTGTTAACATTGGTAAATATATAGGTTTTTAGGTCACATAGTATTATATAATAATAAGGACATTCCAGGCGTAATTCTATTCCAGGCGTAATTTTATTTTCCAGGCGTAATTTTTTTCCGGGCGTCATTTATTTTTCCGGGCGTAGCTCATTTGCATTTTTCGCCTCAAATTCCTGCCCAATTCCTCTTGTTTTCCGCTTGAGTTACGCCCGGAACCTGTGTATCACCATATAAAGTGAGAAAAACTGACGCCCGGAATTCACTTTCCAAGTACGCCTCAATTCCCCCTATATTCCGGGCGGAACATTTCGTACAGGATGGAAGCATATTAAAAATGGATGGCTATTTGAAAGGGGGAGGGGGGCTAAACCAACAAAAAAAAAAGGAAATTCGAATTTTCATGCCTATATTACATGTATGCATGTTTATCTTGCAAAAAAAGGGGGGCTAAGCTCCCCCTAGCTTCACTCTATCCCGTTTCCGACACCTATGTGCGATAATTATTCAAATGGATTCTTCGTAATCTAGGGGTTTTTTATTTCCTATTGGATGTGTTCGATTTCCGAATAATGGCAACAGAACTGAACATCAACTAGTATGCGAAACGTTCTTTATTTCTTGAAATATATAATAATTATTATGTAAGTGATAAATGCCTTGTTGTGCATGGGAGTTTGACAATCATACATGTTCAAAACATGTTACAACTTTCAAAATACATGTAGAAGATGTAGAATATGTGTTAAAATTATATTTTTCTTCAAACACTCTTGCTCTACGCATGGGCTCATCTACCGAATCTATGATAACCTTTGCAAACCCTAGAACGCCACGCCTTACTGAAGGTCCAAAACAGAGAATTGTACTAGCTATATTCTTTTCTCTGTAGTGAATTCAGACGACAGTTTATAGTCCAGCATCCATTGTCCCAACAACTCACGGCAGAACAAGACGCACAAACGACAGCCAAGGTCAAACAGCGTCAAGCAGAGAAACTGGACTTACAACAGGTTTATATTTTGAGGCCATACCAATTAAATTTACAAAATAATTTTTATTTTTATTTTCCGCACTCAGGAAATTCTAGATCTGTGCTAGTTTCTGGTCTATTTAATGAATGAATTTAATAGCAAACAGTTCATGCTTTTTTATAAACCGCTTTGCGGTTTATAAAGCGTAAACTGCCCTAATCCAGTTTATACCGTATAAAATGGGTAGCTACATATTAAATTCATTTCTTATAATTTAATTTTCATTCATTTGATGTAAGAAAAAAAAGATGATTGTTCTAACAAAATGACTTCAATTTGTAGATAATTTGAATGTAACGTCAGGCGAAATTGATACGTTTTTGACCTAAGTCATTGTGACGTTGGCAACCCATTTTATACGATTTTATCCAATCAAATACAGCCTTACAACCAGAATTGTTTTATTTCAGCTTCATTTATTTATTTATTTTTTTTTTCAGTTTTTTGTTCATGCTCTTTTTTAAAATTGCAATTGAAAATACCAAATATATTCTCTCAAATAATTCTTTTATTCTTTTTTGTTTACTTTAAAGGCATTGAGCAACACAGCTTCAGAAACCGTTGAAGATTTGTTCCAAAGTGCCGCTAACAATTATGCAAGGTTTGCTATAACGAAGGACAAGCAACAAAATGAGATTTGGATATGCTTTTTATGTTTATATAGGAATTATTGAAAAGTGATTCCTTGTTTTATTGCAGATCAAGCAGTGGTGAACAAAGAACAGGGTTAGTCAATGAAAAGGTACGAATCTATTACATTTTTTTAAAGAAAATTTAATGCTTATTAGAAAAATGACTTTAAATCTGTAAGATGGAGGGTTGTTAATTCCAAGCTTATTTTGTACAGTGTAGTATATCAGTATATCGCAGTATACATCTTATTAATACATGTACATTACTCATTATAATCCACAGTTGTGTTGCCCCCTCCCCACTCAAAAAGAACTTATTCTGGAATTGCCATCATTATTTTGTGACTTGACCCCCACCCCCCATCCCCGAAAAAAAGGTGAGATGGGTATTGCTGAAAGGCACCGTGATAGATTTATCTATATATATATGATTTTCAGAAAGAATCATCATTAAGGAGAAGATGGAGAAAATTTTTCCGCCGTGTTGATAGAACAAAAGAGCAGGTATAGATATTTTGTATAATTTCATTTTATTCATTTCAATATCTATAAAAAAAGAAAATTCTATCCTGTTCTAAGTTTTGAAATTATTTGATGGTGGTAAATGCAAAAATGTACAATTTGATCTAACTAGTTATTACATTTTGATTTAATATTTTCTTTCTTTACTTTCGTCGGTGCTTAAGTGCACATGTACTTTGCGAGGGACATTTCTGTAGAAAATTTACAAAATTTAATAAACATACATATATACATACCAACGACCAACATCTATATCTGATTACTTAAATTCATTGCATATACAGTTCAAGGCCGTAACTACCATTGAGGCAAGTGAGGCAAATGCCTTACTTAATTTTTAGAGTTTTCTGATACCTGTAAAAGTTTTACATTGAACTTATGAATTATGTGTGTCTTTGTCCTAAATAAATATGTTCAACTTTTGTTTCAGTTTCTTTAAATCATCAGGTGCCTCATTTTCATTTGAAATGCATGTAAAATAAAATTCAAAATGATTGTTTAAAATCCCTTCCAGAGACATAAAATATTTATATCTCTGTCCCTGCTTCTATAAGACTTTCTCATTCAGTACTTGTCGGTGGAGGACTGCAAGTTTTGAATTTGTACAAGTCATGTACTGGGCTTTTGAGGGTCACTGAAGAGGATTGAAGAGGGAGAGATATTTTTGTGCCATCACTTCTGTGACGTAGGACCTCGGTTTAACGGTCTCATCCGAAGGACTGCATGGTCTCTTCATCCCGCAGTGGTATTCGAACTCGCAATGTTTGGATCAACTCCTTTGTCTGCGACTCTAGAGCATACGCTCTTACCACTGTGCTATGCAGCCAGTACAACTCAAAACGTTAAAACTTTCTAAGATTATATATATTTTTTATTTTTCTAATATCCAGGTTTCAGGACACCCCTCCCCCTGGAACCCTCCATCAGTAGCCATCAGATACTACCCTTGGCCCGTCTGGGACTAGGAATGCCCAACACCCTTGCCTCACTAAAAATTTGAGTCTGGTTACGGCCTTGCAGTTGATTTGCCGATAGAAAAATTGAAGTGAATAATCCTTAATACTCTTTGTAAACATTTTCTCGGCATTTTTTTCTCTTCATTTCAGCAAAAGAAAGACAAGCCAACTGGGTTGTTTTCACGACTGCGCCGCTCATTAAACCTTCGATAATGTTCATCTTTGAAGTTTCATAAATTAATTCTTAAAGTTAAATGTGAAGCTGTATTAATGTATCCAGTCATAGAACAGACATATGATACTATATAATGTATTCGAAGAATTTTAAGTACATCAATAAAACTTGAATGTATTACAAAGGCATTCATTTGTGGTTATCCTTCTTTGCGTGTGTAAATTCATGCGAGTACATATGTTGTACTTAGCTCACCTGAACGGAACGTTGGGTTTTCTTATCACCTGTTGCCCAAACCTTGGAGTTTGACACACGTTTACATAAAAATTACAAACTTTATCATGTTTATCTTTGGCCGTAACTTTTAGATATTATAGTAGTATTTTCAAGCAGACTTCTTTGTTACAAGACCTTCCATAGAATACCAACAATATTGACCTTTGACCTTGGAGATTTACGTACTTTAAAAAACTTAACATCAGTCATAACTTTTGAACAGTAAAGGCTAAGGCTTTCATCCTTCGAAGAAGACCTTTCATTTAATTGGATATAAATTTGGATTGGATTTTGACCTACTTTTTAAGAGGCAAACATTGACCCATCTTCCCAAGTCAAGAGTTTCTGATCCACTCCGCTTCTCATAAACATGTGGATCGGATCAGAAACTCTTGACTTGGGAAGATGACATTGACCATTATTTTTGAAGGGTTAGGGCTAGGGCTCTCATACTTAACAGATTTGATCTTTGTGATAAAAACTTTTATTAGATACTAACATTTTTGACATTGACTTTTGACCTACTTTTTAAAAACTTTAAAACCTTGTCATATAACTTGTGTTTAAACGGTTAGGACCAGGGCTTTCAATAGAAAACAACACATTTGAGCCTTTGTCCTTGACCCTGGAGTCTGGCCTACCTTTAAAAAACCTATCCTGGTCCATAACTTTTGAACAGGTGCTGTTAGTTACAGCGAGGGCTTTCTTATTTTTACAATCGTCTATTTCTCGTCAGGAGACGTTACTTTAGGTACCAACATTTAAGAAAAGTTCAATCTTCGCTATGTTGCCATGTGGGAGAATCGGTGTTTCACAAACACAGCTTGTTTAAAAAATATTCTGGGGTCTTGTGGACTTTTTTTAAAGCGTTCATTTTACAGAAAATAAGACGGGATTCTTGCCTGGTTTCTGTCTTCATGAAATATTCAAATAAAACGAGTATATGTCTTTTATTTTTTGTAAACGATTTTTAGCCCTGAGCACTGATAGTCACTTTGAAAAAAAATGTTTAGAATTAAAAAAAATTTACAATGCACTCTCTTGTTGTATTTTTTTTTTTATTTCAAATGTATATACATGTATGCTTTTTTTCTACAACTTGAATCCAGAAAATGACGAATACATTCCTATATAACTATTTCCGCTCGAACTGTAAATCCAAGCCTTATCACCTACTTCCATCCTTACTATGGCCATTTTACTACATGAGAAAGTTCTACCATATTTATAAGCTGCATAACAGTTAATGTGGGATTTCTTCATGCCATTAACACTAAGCACTGTACCTGCTCTTCTCATTGAGTTTACCCATATTGTCCAGTCGAAAATGTATAATCCAGCGATTGGAGCAGTGAAAATGCCTGTAGAAAAGTTGTAACCACCTTTTACGTTTAGATTTACTTCTTCAAAAATGGCTTTTTCTCCCTTTTTCAATGTCGGTGATGATCCCATTCTAGTATCAAATGCTACATATTCGTTTTCTGTCAAAAACAAAATGTTTGTGAAAATTAATATTATTATATATACTGATGCCCCCGTATGGTTGATTATTGCTGCGGTGGAAGTTTGTGAAGTGAAAGTCATTCTTCAAGGCAACGGTCAAATTTGTAGGTAGAGGTCCTGTCATCAGGCAGGCACGGATTCAGGAAATGTTTCCGGGTAGGGGGTGCATCATCTTGAGTCTTTGCGTCAGAGGTCGGACAAACTAACAATGATCACCAGATGTCACTCAAATATTTATACAACTTCCCATTTATTTTCATATAGCATAGAGGGAGGGAGGGGGGCTGACATGGCTTCTATGCAATACATTCGAGGTAGTTTTTTTCTGCTAGTCGGAAAGACCCGAGAAATTGCAATTGTTTTCCGTTGGTCGGAAAGGCCTCGCCGCCTGAGAAGCTGCAGTTGATATTGGTTTCTTTTTTACCGCTAGTCGGAAAGGCCCGCGGCCAAGAAGTTGCCGCGGCGGTATCGTTTTTTTTTTTCCGCTAGTCGGAAAGGCCCGAGAGGTTGCGATTGAAGGGTAGGTCCCTGAATAGCTGCAGATCTGTAGCGTTATGGTTTTATGTATTTGTCTTTGACCATAACGCAACAGATCCCATAATGCAAAAAAAGTGCAATTTACGGCGCAATATTTTTTGCGCTCTTTTCTCAACTTTCCAGCATCGGTCAATCAACTACGTATACCTTTCAACTCCCAATTCTAAGCACATTATTTAACTAATCTGTGTATTTTATCCATCTCCCAACCCTTTATAGACGTCTATACCAATGATAAACTCATATGATTAAAATTATTTCTTAGATAACTGAAAGTTCACTTCAACCTATAGTTTATTGCCTGTAGAGACAACTATAAATGGTTGGGAGGTGCATAAACTATATATATTGGCTACAAAATGTGTATAGAATTAGGAGTTGAAAGGTAGTTGATTGACCAATGCTAGAAAAAGGAGAAATTCTCCTCCAAAGAGCGCAAAAAATATTGCGCCGTAAATTGCACTTTTTTTGCACTATCGGATCTGTAGCGTTATGGTCAAAGACAAATATATAAAACCATAACGCTACAGATCTGCAGCTAGTCCCTGAAAAAGGGTACCTGTAAAGTGCGAAACGAAATAGAAACGAAACGAAACGAAATCTGCCGAAACGAAACGAAATCTACCGAAACGAAACGAAACCTACCGAAACGAAACGAAATCACGAGGAAACGAAACGAAACCTGCCGAAACGAAACGAAACAAAACTATGAAAATGTTTGGGTTTTTTTTCAAATCAAGGTACACGTATATAATTATATATGTGTAACTGCATGTGAACTTTTTTTTTAATCAAATAAAATTTATATACACATGTATATATATATATATATATATATATATATATATAGTTCAAGCACTTGTTAATATAAAATTTTTAAATTATTGATAAATTATGCTCCCTTCTCAGTCTAATGATGTATTTACATGTTTACCAGGTGCAAATATGCACGAGCGTACTATGCAGTATAATTTCAATATGTGCAGTATTTTCTAATTTTTATATCTTACTCTTATTTTCAGTCCTTATTTATCTAAATACAATATATCTATCAAAATTGATGTTGTTATATGTAAAGGCTCGTTTATGTACGGGTCGAAATAAAGTCACTGTACTGTTGTATTGCGAATGTCTTAAAACATAGGATAAACCAGCGACTTAGAGTATTTAGTAATCCATTCCGAGGTGTCTGGTTTTATTGTTCAGTTATACATGTAACTACAACCGGAATCTTGTGTATCCTTTCTACGTACATACAGTCCTATTTTTATCGAGGTAATTTTCGAGGAAGAAATGAGTGGTTTGCAATAAAGAGGCTCCATAAGAGACGTCGAAAACGATTTAACTGACAAGAAAAAAGTCTCTCAAAGCAAACGATGTCAATCTTAAGTAGGTAAATTATTCAGTAAGATTTTTAATAAAATGTGACATAGGCGTTGGAAGCGGGGGGGGGGGGGTTGTTAGCCCCCCAACTTTTCTTTTTTTGCAAAGATATATATTATATAGGCATTAACCTTTTTGTTGGTTAACCCCCCCCCCCCTTTAATATCCTTCCGAAGCGTATGCCCTATGTATGAGCTTGAAGCGAACCCGTGGTGCTTGAACTATATAAATTTCATATGAAGTAAAAATAGACAATATAATCATTCAGAAAGTTTTGTTTCGTTTCGTTTCGGCATGTTTCGTTTTGATTTCGTTTCGTCTTGATTTCGTTTCGTTTCGGTAGGTTTCGTTTCGTTTCGGTAGATTTCGTTTCGTTTCGGCAGATTTCGTTTCGTTTCAGTTCGTTTCGTTTCTATTTCGTTTCGCACTTTACAGGTACCCCCTGAAAAAAAATCTAACACAAAATTTTCTTAACAAGCTCAAATGAGTAACTTTGACATGATCGTCTTTATCAGACCCCCCCCCCCTACCCCAAGGGGTCATAATTTGGAAATTAAGAATATACACTACCCCAGGATGCTTCCACATGAATATCAGCTTTTCTTGTCCAATGAATCTTGGGAAGATTTTAAGACTTTTTTTCTATATGTTTCTATGTAATCTTTGGATTCCCTATTGTGGCCCCGCCCGGCTTACCCGGGGGTCATGGTTTTAACAATTTAGAATCTACACTTCCCCAGGATGCTTCCACATAAGTTTCAGCTTTTCTAGCACAATGGTTCTTGAGAAGCAGATTTTAAGTTTTTTCCATTACATTTCAATGTTACATTGTAAACTTGGATTTCTTATTTTGGCCCCGTCCTACTGTCTTTCTGACATACTTTCTATTTATCAATAAAAATATGCCTTATGACTGTAGTCATAATGCATATTTTTATTGATAAATAGAAAGTATGTCAGAAAGACACTACCCTTGTGATCATGAATTTATTAATAATATTTAGAATCTATACACTACCTCAGGATGACTCCACATAAGTTTCAGTGGTTTTTGAGAAGGAATTTTTTTATTATAGATTTTTATGTATAAAACTTTGATTCCATAATTTAGCCACGCCCTACCCCCGGGGTTATGATTTTAACAACTTAGAATCTGCTTTAAGTTATGTATGTATACTTTTCGTCGTGTCCGTCCGTCTGTCCAGCTGTATATTTGTCCGCAATTTTATATTAAACTTTGACTTTAACATTGAATGTCCGTAACTTATGAGTGATCGGGGAGATGACTTTTATATTTCACAGAAGTATAATCCTTGAGACTAGACTTTTCTTTGGGCAGTATATCAAATTTGACCCTTTGTCCTTGGAGTTTGGCCATCTTATACAACAAATTATCATTACCAAAAAGTAAAAGTATGCACCCCCAATCTTCCATTACAGGGGCTTAAAAAGATGGCTTTAAAGGCCTTCATTATAAAAAAAAGTTCACAAACTTGTGCATGGTGTGTGCATTGGCATCGGAAGCAAATTGAATGTGGGGGGAGGGGCTGAGCGCAAGAAAATTTTTTTTAGACCTACAAAAAAAAACTTAACAAGCAAATAAACAAAAAAAGGAAATATGTCTATTCTCCAATCACGAAAATTCTATTTCGTGGGGGTGGGGTGGGGGGGTGGGGGGTGGGGGTAGTTGGGGTTCGAGATTCTTTCCTATACTGCAACGTTTCTATGGAAAGTCGGGGGGGGTGGGGGTGGGGGTTAAACCTACATTGCAATGCTTAATGCCTATATACTAAGTCTATGTTAAAAAAGGGGGAGGGCTTAAAGATTAGCCCCCCCCCCCCCCCCCGCCCGGTTCCGACGCCTATGTACATTCAATACTCACTTTCACAGTTTGTATTTACATATCCAACAGCCTTACACGCAGTGGACAGGCTCGTCACATCCTCCATAATATCTTTGAATTTCTCACGCTGCAAATTCTCTTTTGCTTGAACAAAACTCGGCATAAAGAGGAGGTAAGCTATCAAGAACGTCATCCTGTATAAGGTAAACCGAATCAAAGTTTTTGCGAGTATTTACAAGTATTTCGGAATTCCATATTATGTATGCTGCCGAAATGAAAATCGTTGGGCCATTTTTTTTTTAAACAGATATACATGTATGTTTCAAAAAAAAAATTATATCACATATTATTTTATTTTTAATTTTCATTTCTAATAAAATAAAAAATATATGATCTAAAATAAATTCTAATTATTTTTAAAGTGCCAATAACATCTTCGCTATAGCCAAGGGTATCTGATATCCTACTTATCCTCATGAACATGAGGAGGGTATAGCTTAACAGAAACCCTTGGCTAGCAAAGATGCCAAATTAAAGAAAATACTTAAATGATTACAAACCTTCTTGTCAAGATCGACATTTGAAAAAATGGAGTTAAATTAAAGATGCTTAAGCTTTATTATAGATAAATTTAACATGCTCCTATTATATATACCAGTGAATTTGATATTGGATCTCATGCGTGTTGCCAAATAAGTATATCGCATGTTAAAAGTAACTTGAAACAGGTGTTCAAAATTTCTAAATACCTTATATAAATATACAGTGTACAGGTACAGCACAACTACCTCTAAAAACAGCCACATGTTTTTAGTCTTAGCGTTGACACCCCCCCCCCCCCAAAAAAAAAAAAAAAAACTTCATGTGCATGTAATTAACATTTCTAGGCTATATAGTAACTTGGGGTTCCCCGACTAGATTGCATTACCAAAATTTAATTGAAAGATTTTTTTAAGAAAAGAAAAAGAATGTCATCGTTTCCTTTAACGCACCCAAAGAAAAGGAGCGTGTCGGGGTATTAATTTTACTAACATATACTAAGCCAGTAAGGTAACGACCGTTTGATTCTGCGAGGGAGGTGCATTGTACATTTTGAAAGAAAATAATCTGCATGTCAACAAACTTTATTGGAAATAAATTCAATACGTCAAAGACTGACAAGAAAATAAATAATCTGTCCTTTACTAACTACTAGTGTTACTCCCCCTCCAGAAGTAGAGTTATTTAATATTATAATATTCAATTTCTTTATTGATTCACCAAACATGTTGGCATAAAACCATGTTACATATAAAGACAAATAATAAAATACATACATACATGCAAGTGTATGGATCAGTGAAGTCAATTTTTAACTATGCAGTGTATTACAACTTGAAGATTAAAAAATCATAATAATTATGCATGCAGTATAGTATGGACAGTGATGAGCTAATAAATGCATTAACTATATGATAATATTATAATAGCATGGAATTATAATAGCATTTATTTCGGGGGGTTCCATTTTTTCTTCATTGAAGAGGGAAAAAATTAAAATAAATACATGTAATCTTATTCGAATAAAACTGTCACCCCTCCCCTTCAGAATCAAATGGTCGTCTCCTAAGCAATGAAAAAGAAAGAAAAATAAGCAGACGTGCACCTAAAAAATCTAAAGATCTTAACTGATCCAATCATTTTTACTTGTCTTCGAGTATGTGCCTTCTCACACTGGCCTAAACTTGTACATATCACTGATGTGTTTGAAATTTTTAAAGATATAAAATAACTAGGAAAAAGGTAACTATTCATTTCATTGCACTTTTTATCATTCTTATAAATAAAACGAACATGTGAAACCGTTTTCATCAAGCATAATTCAAATGTATTGAAATTATTAATTTTGAAGATCTTCGATTTCCGTTTGAACATGGTTAAGAAAATAGATCGGGTTCGATGTGCGTGTGACACTTTGCGCCAATTTTGAAAGACCAATCAAAAGCTTTGTCTTGAACCGCTTGCGGCAAAGTGTCAACACGAAGGAAGAGGGATGCTGAGTCAGCCCTGCCCCTTGGCTTGGGTATTCCAGGTTTTTGTCCAAAGAAATAGATTTGTATGCTTAAAAATTGTGAAAATAATTTTAACTTCTTATAAGTATTTCCAGAGGCGAAATGTTTTTGGTATTTGTGCATAAGGAACCAACAACTTCTGTACGTTCTGACTCTGAGCTTGGGACTGGGAGCTTCGTTGACAAAAATAGGCACTTTTTAGACTCTGTTATAAAAAGCAATATCACGCACCTACGTGTAAGACCATGATGATATGAATGTAGACACCTTTCAATTACTATAGTTTTCAGCTAATTGTAAAGTTTCACTTTACTTCGCGACCTACTCATCTTAGCTAGTCAAGGGTTTTTGATACGGTACTTTCCTCATGAACCCTTGGCATGCGTTGAAGTTAAAAGTCGGGATTATTTTCGTCACATGATCTCAAATCTATATCAGACAGCACAGATTGCGTCATCGATAGAAATGAATATTTATAGATATATAGGTTGACACCATAGCTATTCATAGACATACATGCCAACTTTTGAAAATTTTATTCGGGGAGATTGCGCGTACCGACATTTTTTTAAGTTCCTAATTCGCAGCGTTTTGTCGTGAAATAACTTTTTGTAGGTTGTATTTTCTAAATTATCACTATACTACCTAGGCTCAATTACATCATATATTATTACTACTTCAATAAGTGTTTTTCTCTCTATCACCTTAAACAAAAGCACAAATACAATATCATTTGAAATTTTAAAAAGACAATTTTATTAAAAATTACACTGTAGTTAGTATGTAAATATTAAGATAAATATATACCCTCTGTCTTAAAGAATGTGATACATAAAGTTAAAATATTATTATATGAATAAGGTTGTTAAACTTTACAAATAAGCTGAACAGTGTTCAATGTCTGTTGGTAAATTACAAACTTTATAAGGCTACTGTTATACAAAATATTGTTAAATCATTTTTTTCTTAATAGGAAATAGAGGGAATATTAAGAAGTCATTTTTCACTTTTTCAATCGAAGTCTGCAAAAGACATGGTCTTTTTCTTTCCTTTTTTAAATCACTCTGGGCAGTCCTAATGGTTTTTACTTGCAGTCACATTTTTTCCATGTTAGATTTTGGCAGTGTCTTTTACATGAAGTAGATTATAATTTAATGAGGAATGCAATAATCCAGAAGTTTAACACCTTTTATAAACGGTTTATACGTATATTGTCGAAGTTTGCTGTAAAGTGTGAACTCTCACAAGTTCGTCAGTTTGTATCCAGTGTCGTGTGTATTTCTAAAATTTCCACATCTGGAATAATTGTCTCGGTAAAAATACACTGTTAATGAGTTTCAGGAGCAATTAAAACCTCTGTTATGACTGGTAGCACAGTTGACACCTTGTTGATTACCTGTTATCAGCGGCAATTAACAGATATCCTACCGATAAACATAATTAATACAGCCACGTTTTCTGCACACAGAAATACTGTGTTATTCAAAGCGAATCGGTAAAAAATCCAGATTTTCGAAAAATCGGTAGAAACGGGAGGAAAAAAATTAATCGGTAGACAAGCGGTAGACGGGGTTAAAAATCGGTAGACTCCCGAAAAAATCGGGAAAGTTGGCATGTATGCATAGAATTGCATGTTATCTTAGGATCGTTCTTTACTTGCGTTTTTCATTTCCGAGATTAAAGGGTCAAGAAGTATCCCGAACGCAAAAATTGTAATTTACAAAAAAACAATTGCTGATTGGTCGACCAGATGTACTGAATTCCAATCAGAACTCGAGAAAAAAAACCTGACTTCTATCAACACCGTATGCCAAGGGATTTTGAGGAGAGTACTCAGAACCCTTGGCTAGAGAAGACACAATCTAGTTGACAGCTTTGCTCAGGTAAATTGTACAATCCTCCTAACCGCAAGCTTTACGACTGGAACTTTCTTCTTATCCCTGTTTGCTTGCTTGTGCAACAGACTATTTCCATGTCAATGTTGATAATTTGAATTGACCAATCACATTTGTTTACGCTGGACGCATCAGACGAAAAAGATTGTGACGTAGGCCATAATAAATAAATTGCTAGATTCTCATCTGATTTTTTTTTTAAAATGGAGGCGGGCGGGAGGCTTTTATTTTATATTTTTTATTTTTTCAATTTTGCCTTTCCTGTCTGATATGCGCGTATACAAGAACATTTTTCATAAGATAGAGACTGAAAATAAAGGTTAACACAACATATACCTAAAGAAAAATGCTTGCAAGTACTATTAAAAAAATGTATGGTTTTTCCTCCTTTCCGGGAATTTAAACGACCGCAATTTGCTGAAAATTGAACAAATCGCGATCTTTTCCAACCGCGATTTTAACCTGCTATACGGTATATAGAAAAAATCTTTGAGAATCTTCCTTTCAAGAACCTCTGGGCCAGAAAAGCTGAAACTTAAGTGTGCATGGAAGGATCCTGGGGTAGTGTAGATTTCAAAATGTCTAAATTATGATCAGTGGGGTAGGGTGGGGATGCATTATGTATTACAATGGGGAAATCTGGTAAAGAACAGAATGGTCAAAGCTTGTCAGGTGAGCGATGTGGCCCATGGGCCTCTTGTTATGGCCTGACATAACTTAAGACTTTACACTTAATAAAAGCAAACAGTTTTGTTTCAATAATCACTAATTATTTACAAGATTTAAAGTCTGATCAAAAAATAATAATTTGTCTTAAAATAGTGATTTTTGATGAATTTTATGTTGGTCAGGTCAGTCAGGTCTTTAGTAGGTCAGGTCTTTAGTATCTCCCCTGATCATATGACCAACTGCCTGTCATTGAAAAATGAATATCAATTTAAGATTTAAGTTGTATAAGTCAGATAAGGATTATAGAAAGACACTGGCAATTAATTGTTTGTAAAAATATAAATCTCTCTTGCCTTAATTGGCATAACAAGAGCCCACACTTGAATCATCCCACTTCCCATATGTTAATGTAACAAATACTGCAGGCAACAAGTGGTAACAGCTGGACCAAGACCCATTGTAAAATATTGATGTTTTATAAGAATGTCACAACGCACCAGTCAGATAAACACATTTCCTCCTGATAGACCCAATATATTTACTTATGGGTGATTTCATGACTGGATTGGGTGTTAATAACCCAAAATAGATTAAAACAGCTGTAAAGATACGCATGTTACGTACATTTAACAAAAATCTATTTCTTTAACATTTTGGTTCTGAATCTTTTTAGACGGGGTCACGTGACCCCGTCTTTTAGTTTACTGTCAGAAGCCTCAAAACAGGAAGCCGTGGTGATAACACATGAATTAAATCTACGCATACGAAATAGTGCAGAAATTGTTTTGATCAAAACATAAACATTCTGTATCAAACTGAAGAATGTGATATGAACCTTTCTCTAACTCAAACTAATGAAGTATTTTGATTATTTAAAACTTAAAATATTAACCGTAAATCACACTAGTAAACAAAG